CCATCAAACAGTCCAAGTCATACAAGGATCAATGTCTTTCAGTGAAGGGATAATCCAAGTAACATAGTCCAGTGTCATATAATCAGTTCAGTACTCAAAGTTTGCTAACAGTTACAAAACTTACAATAGCTCACGGCACATTCTAACAACCAGCTTCCAAAACACTCAGATCAGATCAGCCCAGCATCTAACGAACAGAGCTAACAGTCATTCTGGCTCCCTCTTATGGCTGATTGAGGAAAACAGCAACCAATCACATTTTACAGTATGATTTAAAGAAACAAGTATAACATTGCTATATGATTTATATATTGCCAACCCAGCCGTTAGAATTATATTCCTAACATGGATGACTGAGAATTTCTACAGACCTGTAAGATGAGCCTTTGTCTTTCTTGCAGCTTAAGGCCTGCTGCTGTCAACCCAGCCAGTCATGTTTTATTCAACAAGCCAGGGTTGCTTGTGTGTGCTGCAAGACATCTGAGCAGCTGGATAGTAGACTTGTGTGAAAGTTGGGAGTTCTCCACAGGTGCCCAAAGGAAATGAGGAGAGGGTGTAGCCTTTCAACTGACTTACTGTATTTTTCAGAGTATAAGACACATGGGAGTATAAGACGCACCAAGGTTTTGAAGAGGCAAATTGGAAAAAAAAGTTTTTGCACTCTGTAAACCTCCCCAAAATGGCCTGTTTTTTGTGAAAATGGCCCCATTTTTTTAAAAGGGCATGAATAGCCTTTAGGAGACTTATAAGAGTGCTCCTGGGGGCTGGAGGGGATCAAAATTGAGCAAAAAGTGGCCCATTTTTCGCTCATTTCCATCCTCCCCAGCCCCCAGGAGCACTCTGAAAGCCTCCTAAAAATTATACATGGCCATTTTTGCAAAGGGGGCGGGGTTTCAGGAGGCCAAAAATGCTGTATTCCGTGTATAAGACGCACCCATATTTTCAGCCTCTTTTTTGAGGGAAAAGGGTGCGTCTTATACTCTGAAAAATACGGTAACTCATAGATCCCCCATTAGAGCAGCTTCTGAAGATGGTCTCTTATTATCCTTCCCATTCAGCAGATGGTGCAGGCTGGGTTCCTATACAGGTAGTCCTCGATTTACAGTTCATTTGGTGACAGTTCAAAGTTACAACGGCACTGAAAAAGGACTTTTGACCATTTTTCACACTTACGATTACTTCAGCATCCCCATGGTCATGTGATCAAAATTCAGACATTTGGCAACCGACTCATATTTATGATGGTTGCAGTGGCCCAGGTTCATATGATCACCTTTTGCGACCTTCTGACAAGCCGGGTTAATGAGGAAGCCAGATTCACTTAACAACCCTGTTGCTAACTTAACAACTGCAGTGATCCACTTAACAACTGTGAGCAAGGAAGGTCATAAAATGGGACACAGCAAAGCTCACTTAACTGTCATGCTTAGCAACAGAAACTTTGGTCTGAATTGTGGTCATAAGTTGTGGAGTACCTGTTTATGACACTTCAAAATAAACCTTTCAAAGTAGCTGAATGTGTTGTGATTGTTTATCAGGATGCTGTGCCTCCAGCTAATTCCCCAAATTTACCTTCTGAAGGTGAGCAGGAATGATAGCCTTAATATAGCTGAGAGGAAAGGGGGGGGTTCTCAAAATACCCTAACCCTAACCCATTTCTACCCCACTCCAGGGTAAGGATACTGCAAAATCTCCATTCCCTCCCCACTCAAGGGAAGGGATACTGTAAAATCCCCATTCCCTTCCCATTCCAGGGGAAGGATACTGCAAAATCTCCACTTCCACCCCACTCCAGGGGAAGGATACTGCAAAATCTCCATTTCTACCCCACTCCAGGGGAAGGATACTGCAAAATCTCCATTCCCTCCCGACTCAAGGGAAAGGATACTGTAAAATCCCCATTCCCTTCCCATTCCAGGGGAAGGATACTGCAAAATCTCCACTTCCACCCCACTCCAGGGGAAGGATACTGCAAAATCTCCATTTCTACCCCACTCCAGGGGAAGGATACTGGAAAATCCTCATTCCCTTTCCACTCCAGGGAAAGGATACAGTAAATTCCCCATTCCTTCCCCACTCTAGGGAAAGGATACTGCAAAATCTCCATTCCCTCCCGACTCAAGGGAAAGGATACTGTAAAATCCCCATTCCCTTCCCATTCCAGGGG